CGCCGTCACCTTGGTCTAATAGTGCAGAACAACAATACCGCTACCGCACTTGTTTTGTTCACTGAAAACTCAATGCTTAAAAATATCAACAAATTCTTGAAACTCATCTTTTCCTTACATTTCCAGAGTAAACCGTCAGTCTCGTTTTCAACAGGATGACTCTCCTATCCACAAGGCAAGGGCAATAACTGACCTGTTTGAGCGCCATAGTATTCACATTCTTGATTGGCTTTGCTTACTCGCCGGGTATAAACCCAATTGAGAATTTGTGGGCAATACTTAAGGGAAAAGTGGAAAAAAAAGTAAAATTGCGGTTAATGAAAAAAAAAAGAAGCTTTCAACAATTGACTTTCAAACAATAATTCGTCAAGAATGGGAGGGTCTGGATGACAATCTCTTCCTTAGGTTAGCGAATAGTATGAAAAATCGTGTTTCGGAGGTAATTGAGCGGGAGGGAAAAAAGATATATTATTGAAAATTTGTACATAGTTAGTAACTGTATTTGGTAAAATATGTACGAAATTTAAGCATACAAAAATAATGAAAATAAAAATTTTTGTTTGTAAGATTAAATTCCGAATATTTATGACGACCACGGTAATAGTAAACAACTACCGCGATTAACACAATCCATTAACCAACACTCCAACAACCACTACCACTTAACAACAACACTCACAACATCAACATCAAGAATGAATGCCAATGGCCTCGCGGAGCAGGACTTTTCGCTCAACTCTTCGCAATTGCTTACGAGAAAATTTCGCTAGAGGAAATTAGGCGAGTAAGATTTTAAGAGGGAGAAACTGTTACGGCAAGCTGATCTGATGAATCAGATAAGTTGAGTCACATGATAAAATTTTTCTCCGCATTCATGATCGACACTAATTTTAGTTCAGTTTCACAAAAACCATTAATTTAGTAATAACTAATGTTTCGAAAAATCCGCAACAACGGCGCCACGCTACATTAGGAAACAAAAATGTTGTGAAAAATCCGCGGCAGCACAAAACGTTATAATTAATGTTCTTCTAGAAATAGTTAAAAGTGCATTGCGCTTTTTCCGCGACGCTCGAAGATATATAAGTAGCTCATATTCATCGCCAAATCTTCGTGTTGTCAATGTTGTATGTTGCTTATGTTGTGAAAACATCGAAAGTTGAAATTATTATGAATAAATAAAATATTACTGATCTTAATAATATTCTCCCGCAATCCTTTATTATAAATATACATTTTATTTCTATCGTCAAAATAATTGATTATTAGGCCAATAAACGGCTCACTTAAGCTGTAACGGAATAGCATTGATTTAATCAAGCTAGTAAGCTGTCCGTGGATCAATTACGTGAATAACGGAACGAGAGTTCATAATTAATTATCGAGACGATTAATGTTTAATTAGTTTAGAAAGGCAAGTGACGGATACCCGACGTCGGAAAAACAAATCGAAGATAGCCCTGTTTAAATTTAAAAATAGTATTATTCCCCTTCGATTCTTTAGTAGAATAATTGTTGTTATTATTTTATTAGAGGTACCCTTATTTGTATTCACGAGTGTTTGAAACTCGGATAGGGAGTGAGAAGCGCGCATAATTAAAATAGGTTACTTGAGGCTTAATTCAGTCTTAATTGTACAACTAGAATAGTAAGGGCGATAGTGCGAGCTAAGCCTGGTAACATCCCCCGGTCGGCGAACACACCTACGCGAAAGATAAATCGCTCTCCCGCAAATCCCATTTAATTCCCGACCGTAACATAACTTAATACTTGTGAAAATTTGATATCTTCTCTTCCATGGCTTGCTCGGAGCCCAGAATTGAGCATTTGTGGAAGAAAATTGCATAAACACAAACCCATACCAAAAAATAAGAGAATTAGCTTCAGTTTTGGGGGAGAAGTGGTTGAAATTTAAGGAAAGCATTTTAGAAAATTTAGTGAATAGCATGCTTTGAAGAGTTAACGCTGTAATTGATATCCCACACCGTATTAACGTTATAAATAAAAAGTTCATAACACAAGAGGATTCGAAAATATAAATTTTATTGAAAGTTGTTAATACAGTTTCCGAGACATCAAAATTAATGGATATTTTTGGCTGGGGTGTAAAATAAAGAGCAAGTACATGGCAAAAAGTTAATAACAGAATGGAGAGTGAACTTGCCGACGCCATTTTGTCAGCACGAACTTTGAGCGCAAGCAATTTTTATCATTATCTCATTTCAGCAAAGTCTTTTCATTGCCTGCGAACTTTTTCATGCAGAACTTTGCACACGTGATTTTTCAATCCGCTTCTACAAAGTAATTTACTCCATAACCACTCTGGCTTTCCTGTCTATGCGTACCAAAGAGCACTACTTTCCAAAACGCATTGGGCCTTTTACGTATTCGCTTATGTAACTGATAATTTTGAGAATTCTAATTTTCTATTGCTCCACACCACATTGATAATCCCTGCATTTTGCTTTCTTGAAATAAGCTAATTTTGCTTTGGAACCTTTTAATCGCGGAATAACACGCGTCTAGCAAGTTCAAAAAAAAATCTTTCTCGATAACCATCAAATCAAAATGGGTCAAATTTTTTTATGTTTAATTGTGTAACTCAAACTTCAATATAATTATTTACGGAGCTGCGATGATCAGTGGTTGCTGAGATATTTGCACAGTGTCAAACCTTTTTGAACCACGCGCGTACTCATTCAGGTACGATTTTTACGTTAACTATGGGATAAAAGATTGGTGTTCTGGGGACGTAATTATATAATCCTATTTTTACGTTTTGGATCATTATTAGACCAATTTTTAATCTTACGCTGTAAAAATTTTATTTACGTATTTTAAGACTTTTCACTTAACAAAACCTTTCATAGTTGTCTTATAATCGAAGTTCGACAACCAAAGTTCGAAAATAGTGATCATATTTCGCTTAATATTAAACATTCCTTCATGAAATGTGTAAAATACATGCGCGTTAATATTGTCAACAACTTTACTTAGAGTTTCGGTTGTAATTTACTTAGTAAAATAAGAGTTTGGTATGCGATGAGAATCAGAAAAGGGATGTAAGAAATCTATTGTCGCGCAAATCGTAATAATAATAATTTGTCGCGCAAACTATCGGATATAATCGGCACTAGTGACCTTCGAACTTCAAGGCTTTACACTCATGATCCTCAGCGTCGTAGAGTGACACTAATCCTGGATAATTTAATTGTCCTCGAGTAATATCTACCGCGTGATTAACACTTATTTGACACTGTTCGAACACACCGATTTTAGCTGAGGTCTATGCTGCTTATATATTTTTCGAGCGGACCAATTGATCTATGTTTAGCAGTGATTACTAATTACCTAAGTCTATTGTTATCAGTATACGTTAATATATCCACTGCTCTATAATTGTTTGATTGCAGTGCACATATGGCCTTTCCAATCATGATACTCATTATTACACTCCACATTGCTTCAGTTATAGAATGATTTGAAATGACATTTGTTTGGGTTGTAAACTCACTGATACACGAGTAATGCATACTTTCTGGTTCAATTTTAGAAATGGCGACCTAGCAGCACTTTAAAAAGTACTTGAAAGATTATTCAAATTGACTGATGGCTGAAGTTATTATCAATGATTGAATAGTGGATTAAGTGCCTGGCGTTATCTCCTGCTATTATTTTTCTGACAATTGGTGATGTAATTCGAATTCGTCTATTATAACTGATAGTGGCAATAGCATCACTGTTTTGTCAATATGTTTCTTTAATTAATATTGTTTGAATTTAACTATATGATCTTTTTCTCCACCTTCGACTTCTCGACGACGATCTACTTCTCCTCCTATCTCTCGACGATGATCTGCTTCTCCTCCTGTCTCTCGATGACGATCTACTTCTCCTGTCTCTTGACAGCGATCTACTTCTTCTTCTATCTCTCGATGAAGATCTACTTCTTCTCCTGCCTCGCGACACTATCGATGACAACGATGATGATCTACTTCTTCTAGAATATGACCCACTTCTTCTCCTACCTCTACAATATGATCTGCTTCTTCTTGTCTGCCTGTCTATTGAAACGGATCGCTCACGACGACGCGGTGAGCGAGACCTTGACGAACGTTTCCGCAAACCACGGTGACGATCTATCCTCGATTCTTCATTGCTAGTCTTTAAAGATTCTCCATTGGTCATCTCTCTATTATCATCCGTACCAATAATATCATCCCATGCTGCCCAGCTAGGTTGTAGTAAAGCAAAATGTCTGTTTAGAACTATTGATTATAACAAAGGTATTATTCGCCCGTTCTTACCGATCATCGTCATCACCTTCATCTTCCTCCTCGTCCAAGTCGCTCATGTTATTATTTATAATGGGACGATGATTCTTTGATTGTTGTTCCTCGTAATCATATGCCCTATCATCTGTTCCCTGTTTCCTTTTCTTCCGTTTCCTCCCAAATTCATCCCATTCCTCGTCCTTTTCCGTTTCTCTGGTTTTACGATACTCTATTACCTCATCACGTTCTAAGTAACCACCTCCACGACCATCACGCGAACCTAAAGTGCTCTCTAAACCAGGCTTTGGTGTTTTGCACTGATTACACTCCACTCGACGTGCCCAGTTAATATTCGAACAGCTGTTCATACAATAATTAGGTTATGTAAAGCCAATGGATGAAGTATGCATCCGTTATTATGGCGAGATAGCTGAAGATCGGAGGCTTCACACTTACATGGGACATTTCCAGTCCTTCTCTGAAAAGAGTCCCTAAGAGTTTCATTTTCCATGCCACTAAGTATTTGATTTAGTGTAATACAAGACGCTCAAGGTAATTTTATAGATACTTGAGACATATGTTACCCCATATCGACTTGCAAACTCCTTCCCAACCTCTCCACTAGCGCCACCTTCCTCCTGGCGTGAGCGGCGAGAGTAGCTTGCTTGATGTTCTCTTTCCCGGTCTCGTCCTCGATCTAGTCGATTACCAACGCCCATAGTATTCGCTGGACATAATTCAGAAATGGTTGGAACTAGAAATTGTTAATAAAAAGCAATTCTCGATCCAATAACTTCGTTCTTTCCGCAATAGTAAATCATGTGAGTTGAATTTTGTGTTCCGCATCGGTACTACATTACGATCAATGACTCATCATGAAGGTAAGCAGGTTCGATCACATTCTACCAGATTAGGTTGGTAACGTTTAAACATAAATACAATTTCCCATTCCCACATTCACTCGAAAAAAAAAAAGGTTGAAAAATGCTCACTAAAATGTCTAATGTTCACCGCTATGCCGTCAGAACCCTCTTCAGCAACCCATTCAACAGAAATTTACAACTACGTTCATCCATAGTATTCTGTTCTCATCCATCAAGACGTTTTCTGAGCCAGACAGCCAATAAAGACAAACTGATTGTTTTTGATACCACTCTTCGCGATGGTGAACAGGTACGCAAATGGTGATAGACCTTTTGATAATAACATTTCGAATCAGGCTCGTTACATTCATACGCCGCGTGAACTCTTAGTACGCGTCATGTTTGCAAGAAAACGAAGAATTGGTGGCGAAATAATTCTGATAAAATATCCTTTAATTCTAAAGTCGCCAGGAGTTAATCTAGTGCCTGAAGAGAAGCTAGAAATTGCCAGAAATTTGTCTGCACTTGGTGTTGATATAATTGAGGCTGGGTTTCCTATCGCTTCGCCGGCCGATTTTGAGGCGGTTGCAAGAATTGCAAAGGAAATAGGACCATTGATGAATGGCAGAGAAAAAGTCGGAAAACCCATGGTAATAAAATGACGGATTAAGTATACACAATTTACATCATGTGATGTCATGCTATTTATTTAATTGTAACTGTGATTACCTATATCAGATAATCGCTGGATTGGCGCGTGCCTCTACGAAAGATATACAAAGATGTCATGAGGCTGTGTCACACGCTCCCCTACATCGAATTCACACTTTCCTTGCTACGTCAGACATACATCTTCAGTATAAGCTAAAGATCAGTCGAGAGGAATGCATAATACGCGCGGCTAAGGCAGTCGAATATGCTCGATCTCTCTGCGAGGATGTAGAGTTCAGTACGGAGGATGCTGGTAGAAGCGATAGGGATTTTCTATGTGAAGTTTTGGCAGAAGTTATCAGAGCCGGTGCAACAACTTTAAATATTCCGGACACAGTTGGATATACAACACCAGAAGAGTATGGCAGTCTGATCAAATATTTGATACAAAACACGCCAGGATCCGACAAGGTAAAACCTCAGACATAATGATTAATCGTGACGATCAACAGTAACGGTTTGACATTTTGTATAAAATATTGGTACAAGTTTACGGTGCATTATTTGAACAATTGTAGGTCATATGGTCCACTCATTGTCATGACGATCTCGGTTTAGCTACTGCTAACACATTGTCTGGCATTACAAACGGCGCACGTCAAGTGGAAGTCACAATCAACGGCATTGGCGAACGCGCTGGTATGTAAATATGTGGCAATTTTTTGAGTATTCTTTGTCTAAATGGTCTTCATGAAATCACAGGCAATACCTCGCTTGAAGAAGTTATCATGGCTATCCAAGTACACCCTTCAGCTTTCCCTGTTTACCACACTATAAATACTCCACTTCTTTATCGAACATCCAATTTAGTGTCTAGTCTATCAGGAATGGTGGTTCAACCGAACAAGGCAATAGTTGGTACGAATGCATTCCTTCATGAATCAGGTATCCATCAAGATGGTGTATTGAAGCATAAGCAGACTTACGAGATTATTCGGCCAGAAGATGTTGGCGTATTCAACGTAAACATTGTTCTGGGTAAATTGTCTGGTCGTAATGCACTCCGTCAACGTCTTGTCGAGCTTGGATATGGTGATCTGCCTGACGCAGATTTCCAGAAAGCATTTGAAAATTTCAAACTTCTTGCCGACTCAAAGAAACGAATTACGGACCTCGATCTTCTGGCTCTGATGAGAGATCAAATGTTAACACCCGCACTGTCTAGATTTGAGCTCAAATCCGTCCAGGTGGTCTCTAGTACTCACGGCGTGGCTACCGCAACCGTGAAACTGTTTGATTCGATTAAGAATGAAGAATTGACCGATGCTGCTATTGGTCGCACTGGACCGATCATGGCAGTCTTTGCTGCAATTCAGCGTCTTGTAGAACGCAGGATCAGATTACTGCAATATGAGGTGCGTGCAGTCTCAGAAGGGATGGACGCATTGGGCAAAGTAGCCGTAAAAATCACTGAAGACGAGGATTCTTCGGACGTTGATGATGCAACCCCGGTAGCAAGTGATCATATCATTGATGGACAAGTTAGGCCAAGAGTAGACGCTAGTGGTCAGACTAGATTGACAAAGATCACGTATCAAGGAAATGGAACAGATTTGGATGTAATCGCTGCCAGTGCCAAAGCATACGTCAGTGCAATTAATAGGCTATTTGAGGGAGAGGTTGGGGAAACACAAGGGCTGAGACGAAGCTCGCCTGCAGAAAGACAAGTGAATGTCTAAATAAAAATCTACAATTTATTCGCATTAAAGAATTCAATTGTATTTTTATATAAATGTCCTAACATTCATACAAGTTATCCATCATTCGGAAACTAATAAGATCCGGTTTTTGTGATACTTTATAGTTAAAATGAAATTAATTATTGTTGATAATTAAATATTGTATGCAGAAGATGCGTTCTTCATTTAATTCAGCTTCGATATTTCGGTTTCAATACGAGAGTTTTCCTCACTGTTGTTCCTATTATCGATTAATCATTCACATTAATAAGATGACTTCAACACAAACCATCTACACCACGTAGATTATCTATATTACCCTGGTGGCTCATCTCGTTGATTTTCCTCTGTTGTTGCGCGTTCATCATCTTTACTTTGATTATCATCTTCCCATTTGTCATCTTCATCGTCACCTTCATCCCCGATATCAAAAATGGCTGCGTCCTCTTCCAAACTACGTCCCCGTCCGCTATCTGGTCGGTCGCGGTACTTCATGTTATCATATCCCATGTTCTCAGCACTACGAAGATTATTAATCTCGACATCAAATTCATCGTCATCTTGAGTCAATTCGTCACTCATAGCAAACGTGCAGGCAGAAGAAACGTTAAGGAATGAAACGACATTGTGGCAATAGTCTGGAAAAGTATGAAATATTTTCTTTGCTCAAGTGGTAAAAGGATATCTCTTGTTGTTCTTTGTTGGCCTCCATAAGATAATAATAACCAAGAATACAACAAGGTAAAGGATATTCAGCCATCCATCGAGTAAAAACCATTTGTAATGCCAATATCTTGCCGGCCATTCAAAGTCATTGTGATGGATGTAATTTAACATATTCACTATGAAAAACACCCCAAGAATTGCTACAGAGAACACAAGCAGGCGGTACAGTCGTCTATACATCAGCGACTTGACAGTTTGTTTACGTATCTCGAGTGTTTGAATAGTGTGCGTCAGCGATTGAAGAGTCCAGACATAGAATGCCGTCATTGTTAGAGCCAACGGAAGTATCACAACGAGTACGAGCGGCCCGGCCGTATCCGAGTCAAGTCCAAGGACGCCAGCCGAGTATATTATACCAAACACAAAGTGAGCACCAGCTAAGGCGCGACATTTATTCATCGTACTTCCAAGAGTTGGTCTAAGAAAAGATGCAGATGTAAATAAAGTGTTGGATTAAATCGCATGTTCAAACAAATAACAAAAGAGAGCATTACTTGACTACGCCATAGCCCATGCAGACAATTAACAGCATAAAGAATGATATTGAATTCCGTCCGGCATTCAAAACGGAGACTACGATAGCAAGAGCAGTAGCTAAAACGGTAAAACTCGGTTAATATGTAAATATTTCAGACTGCCGAAAGCAGTTCAAGTGCATCGTGAAGAGTTGAAAAGGCCCGCATACATGGATGTCCAGTGTTATTATAATTCTCCCAATATCCCCAATTAAAAGCCATTTCAATCATAAGAAATAAAATAACACCAGAGATGTAATTCTGCAAAGATAAAAATAAAAAGAGAAATAAAAAACAGAAAAAATACATTTATGAATATTTCCGTCGTATGGCATAAATGTTAATATTAATAAACAATAGCTCACTCACTTGCACTTGCAGAATTTCACGCCAATGAAGAATACTCAAAACCATCCAGACTATTCCAATTGCTAAATAAACCAAGGACAATAAACCATAAAACTATGGTAATGTTAGACAAAAAAAGTGAGTTCGAAATCATGATCATGTTTAGAAATCTGCAGAATAAAAACGTACTACATTTTCATTGAAAACATGCATTTCATAAAAAAAGACCATCGCTACTCAACCACATCGGATTCAGCTACGACATACGCATCACTTACCGGTAGCTTCGGATAATCGCTTCCAGGCAGTTCTCCATATGGATTCTTCCATTCCACATGAGCCTCGAAACCTCCGTCTGTGAAATATGCCAACATGCAGTAATATCCAGTCTTCTGTATTTCGTATTTGTGCGATAAATTTGTCGCATTCTTATCGCTCGAGTTAAAGTCAAATTGGAATGTGTCGACCGAGCCCTTGTCGCCCTCAGTTACGATAAATCCATCTTTTTGAGACTCTGTGCAATGCTTCGCCTCAACTTCCGTATCGTCACATATGTAAGTCTGCGGTTGAAGGACTAGTGAGAACTTGTGTATAGATATACCACTTAATTGCTTAAATGACGTACCATGACCCCATCATGCTCATGACCAATATTGCCTTGATCATGCCATTCGAACAACGCGAATGCTACGCTCGATCCTTCCTTTGCATTTGAAAGCGGTTGTGCATTTACTTGGAGGGAAAACAAGATTCAGAGTGAGAGAGAATACGACTAAAGAATCTGAGAGCATAGAAATACTGTCTCAAGACCAGAAGATCTTTCTACCTGAAACAAAAGGATCAACACCATTCGGTATAGCTGACTTGGCGTATAAGCCATAACATCTAAATTGAACGTCTCCAGGAGATGAATAAGTCTGCGACAAGAAAAAAGTGTTAGCGGCTGTCTGCTTTATTCAGATCAGATTCAAAGATCCTGTCCGATCCATCATCGTTCATACCATATGCTCAGTTACAGCATCGATTACTGCCGCACAAAGACTCGCAAGCACGAAGCTCACGAGCGAAAACCACCGACTCAGCTTTGTCATTTTGATTTTTTTACACGTTTTTAGTTCAGTCACGGACTGTTTTCTATTATTTATTATTAAGAGACGTTACACACATATACTGATTAAAACATGTGATTTACCATTCCGAAAAGTCATTCTATTCCGGAAAGTCATTTCCATTTGTTCGTAACAGAAACCAAGTATATCTGGATGACTAATGAAAGGGCCCTAATGCACGCCCACTGTACAAGTTTATTCTCTTCTGCTACTTTGAGAATTCGAAATTTGAACCTTAACTATCATCAATCTCTGTTGCTTTGTCAGTGTAGAAGATCACATGAAAAAACTTAATATCGATACATCGAATCGAGATAGAATTATTCTTGTTAGACGCGTCATGCCGATGGTTTGTTTTTTAATTACAATTTCTTATGCGTGTTTGTAAATACAGAGTCTGGATTCTTTTTATTTACAAATGCTTGATAATGGCTACACTACACTTACGAAGCCTGATATTCTCTAATGTCCAAACAATTACGTATGTGTATGTATATGAATATGTGTCATTTATTTTCAAGGTTCCGATGATCGCGTTCATTATTAGGCACACCGATGCGTTAACGCAGGTTTAGGTGTTACTGAATCGAGTAGAGTTTGATCTCAGTTATCTCTTGATACATCTTTTACATAGCGAATAATCATTCGGCTATTCTCTACTGGGAAGCTTGCATTTCAAAGCTCTAACATTGTAGGATATCTTTCGACAAAACTTGTAAGAATAATCGGTTTGAACTTCTATTTAACGCTGGTACTTGCATGCTTATCTCAAAGAGCAAAATTTTTGGTATATGGCAAAATCCGTTAAGAAATCCAGGCTGAAGAATACCGACCTGTAGCAGTATGCCAATTTAGCGAAATCTTACAAGAAAACTGCTCTTAAGACAGACGATGATTGCGTCTATAAATATAGACATGCCAGACTCCCTAATGCTAATAAGCCATGAGGAAGCACCGACTCTCGCTCATGGTAGATACCCCGAACAAGAAATAGTCAACCCTGTGCAACGATCTAGCACTACCAAATGAAGCAAGCTTTAGCGATCCACCATAGTTGTGCCAATAATGGACTCACTATCTCAATGTCAACTTATTTATTCCTACTTTGCATGAACTCGTCAACCAGATTCTGGTACATTTCATTATGTAAACTTTTCACTCGCTGATAATGTCCATGAATACGACTGAGTTCACTCTGTAACTCGTTTACTTTTGACTCGAGGGCTGCGGTTGTATCGCTCATCTACATATGGTCAATATCGTGTTAACATGAATACAGAAAGTGAAACAATTAATAACAGCCTTACCTGTAGTTGCGTAGTAATATTCTCTACTTGCACTAGATTAAGATGTTCCCTGGATTTGACGGCTACATTGACAGGAATGACATTAATAATTAATACCACCCGAAGATGGTTTAACGTGTCTAAATCGGTAACAGGTCAAAATAGCATGAACCTGCCCCATGAATCATCTTACCTCGCCCATGACACTCGTCCAGTATCTTGTCATACTATTAATTACAATTCGTTCGTCAGTATATATAGTTATTCAACAACGTTAATTTGTTGCATTATACATACATCATCTGCACCATCAATGACCACTATGGCTCCATAGTCATCATCATCTTTTTGAGCGATGTTCTTCGTTTTCTTAAATGGTTGGATGGGTTGGATGACCGTATTAGTTGGATATGGACTCAATTTAAAGAGATCGGGTGGCTTAAGGAATGTCTGAACATTGGTAATGGGCCCTAGCAAACTTTATATGAAACAAAAAATATTCCCAATCGGATTTACATAGTCGGCTATTCAATAGTACTTACCTTTATGCTGGGCAAGTCTCTTTACTAGTTGTCTACTTGATGTGTCCCATATATTCACACACCCGTCTTCAGATCCAGAAACAAGAAGTGAAGAATCAAAGGAAAGAGAAAGTGTTGACAACGGTGCACTTAAAGTGTATGATTCATCAGATCAGCATCAATAGAAATAGAAATGCAAATACAAGCATGAATGCAAATTCCTTACTTGTGCCCACGGAAAACTAATCCTCCATCACCGATATCTGCTACACTACCACCACCACCAACAGCCATCACCTCGTCTTCCATAACGCCACTGACATAACCTCTTTCCTCGCCCTTTCGGTACAAATTCACTTGATATATAGTGTTATCACCACCACCGGCAAAAAACATTCGCTCAGCCGGATCCATCGCAAGGCATGTTATTATTGTTGGAAAAACGAATGTTGTCAACAACGTGCCACTTGACAGATTCCACAACTACACGGCATTTGGACAAATTATTCATTAATTTAAATAATCGATCAGTATTTGTATACTAAAATAGCCAAGCTAACCTTGCAAGTATGATCAACGGAAGAAGTTAACACTCTTGCGGTAAGAAAACTCCCAATGCCGCAAACAATATCTGTAATTGGTAGCGAATGTTCTGACCACGCATAATAAGGCGAAGGAACATCATCCGTCAATTCATCAACCAAGCTAAATGCAAGCTGCTGATTTTTAGTAAATTTCGCCTTGTTCACTCCTCAATCAGATAAGCCAACCTCATAACATCACGAACCTGGCCATTAGCCAGACATTAACGCCTGCATCTTCGCTGCCAGAGATCAATACAGTATCGTCAGATGTAAAACGAAGAACGTTAACCTTTTTATAGTGCGCATCAAATACAGCACATAATCTTCCAGAAAAGAGCTAAGACAGAAGAGAGAGAAAAAAAGATTTAATGGAGCCGACATTACCGGCAGGATATAACAAATTTTGAAACAATCATATAAAGACATACCTCCCACAAATATATTTTACCGTTTTCAGTACCGCCTGCACAGTATGCTCCACGATTGGATATTTCCAGGGATGTCAACTTTTCGGGACATAAAATTTTCATATGCACTTGTTCCTAATAAAATATAAAACACAAACACATTAATATTGTCATAGTGGCAATTGCTCGTCACGCTCCTTTTATCAAACTCACTTTCTGCCATGAATACACATTTATGATTGCTCTATCACTCTGAGCGCACATGACCAGACCCACTCTCCCTGCGTGTCCCGAATACGGCACCAAATCAACTGCATGTTTACTGCTATTATTCTGTCTCAACGATAAAACCACCGTTCCTGCCCGGAAGTCCCAGACATAACTGCCGTCGCTCGAACACGTTAACGCAAGTTCATTTAACATTTCCACGTTTATTTCAGGCCCTGCATCTGTGTAAACCACCCCGTTAAGCAGGGGATAATACATATGACAGGGGAGATATACAGTACAGTTCTATGAAATTTAGTTAAAGTTGTTCATACGTGAAGTAATTTTTTACTACACAGTCGCTCATAATGCCATGAGTGAGAAATGGCTGCTTGTGTTAAAGATAGAGATGTTAAAGAATTTATTGTAAAACTTTCCTTATAATGTAATCTAAAGAACTATTTTTATAACTCGAAGAAAAAACATTACAAAATTTTAGTCACAGTTCCTATTTGTTGGCAATGGATGTGCTCTGTCTGATCATTTTTTTCCCTAGAATGTCCCATAAGTGTTCAATGGGATTTAGTATTAGATCAGGACTTTGGGTCGCAGGAAAGACAGATTAAGTTATTTCTAGTCTTTCATTCATTGCTATTATTATTGTTGTTGTGAATAATGCATATCATCCGGTTGCTTATATAAAAAACTTGCTAGCAAACAAACACGTATAGTCAAAGTTATAAACAATTAACGAGACGCGTCTAATTATTAAACGTGACTGGATTCTAACAGCATACAGTTATGTAGATAGTGTTGCGACTTTATTTCCAAGCTATCTGTGCAGGCTAGAGCTAGTTTTAATATTAACTTGATTACAAAATGACCGGGTAATACCAAATTGTCAAAGTCGCAAATATTAATATGCCAAACCGATAATAAAATTTCTTGGCTATTAATTATAATGGATAATCTGAATCGCGGGGTTTTCAAGATATTCAATAAATTATTCAAACGTTTGGTATTTGTTGATTTTCATTTAATTTGTTCATATTTATAATTTTTAACCTTTCAAATGCTTATCACAATCAGCAGACATAAAACCAAACCAACTAATTCATCATTTTGCCAACGCAATATTATTTTAGACATGCTTTTGTAACTTGCATGGATTAACTGTTTTTCGCCGATTTTGTCTTCTAAACTTTGATTACTGTAAAGCCAAACTTGCTCAGTTGCGTCTCCTAACCAAATGAATCTTACAGAAACAACATAAAACAAATAACCAGTGTGTAATTAAACGTAGAACATCCAGATTCATGGAGATAGTCCAAGAATTCTTTTATTCAAGAAATTCCGCATTGGGATTTTTGTAGAATGCCCCGAATCGTCTTTGTTAGCTCATTCTTGCAAGTCTGGCCTGCAAGCAAGAAACAATGAGTATACTGTAAATTTGACATTGGCGATTATGTCAGTCATGTTATCCTCTGTATTAGACATGTAATGAAGCGGCTCTTCCGTTATTTGCTGTTTAACATTCATTGACATTGCTTTGGTTGTGTTCTGTGTGTTGCTCGCTAGCTCAAAGTCATTGGCTGGTGGCGAGGACTTTTTTGGAGACTACACCGTGAGGAAGAGTTTGTATAAATGCGTGGGGGCTAAGTATTATTAAAATTCGACAGTGTTTAAATACTGCAATCAGTATCTGAGTTGACATTTAGGAAAGCCAGCCATTAAGATGGCAATGAAAAGTTTGGTTGCAGATGAATTTCAAAAGAGATGGATACTATGCGGGGCATATTATAATACGATATGCTGCTTTGATATTCCCGTCCTATAACGCTGTATTTCTAGCATGTTCTTTCCATATTCGAAAGCGTGTCAACGACTTCGTATGTCATTTCAAAGTTTCCTAAATTGATGGTTTGCAGCTTTAAATTTACAATTTTTCGTTCACGCTGCTCAATGGCGAGTAAACGCACCCGTTTCTTGGGCAATCACGCGTTCTACGAGAATGTATGCCAATGACGTCAGCATCCTCGCTAAAAAAAACTCTAAACTTGGTTTATAATGAAATTAATTTTTGTGATCATACTTATAACATTATCATTATTGTTTTTACTATTTTATTCTGTGGCCCTCTTTTCGTTTTTAGTACCTGAAAAATGTCTGCAACAGAAACGAGTGATAGTAGCTGGGGCGCTCCTGCTAATGTCTCCGAATGGAACACCGAAACTGCCCCAGAACAGAATATAGACGGGCAGGGCAATGAACAAGACGTGCAGAATGCTGACAATAGCAAACAGAATCCCGATGGATGGGGACCAAGCACTCAGAATCCCGATAATGCGGATGGATGGGGTGATGGCAAAGAAAAGAGCACTCAGAAACTTGAGAATTCGGACGAATGGGGAGATAGTAAAGAAACAAGCACTCAGAAACTTGAGAATTCGGACGAATGGGGAGATAGTAAAGAAACAAACACTCAGAATGCGGATGATAAAAAAGAAACAAACGCTCAGAATGCGGATGATAAAAAAGAAACAGGCGCTCAGAATGCGGATGGATGGGGTGATAAGAAAGAAACAGGCGCCCAGAATGCGGATGGATGGGGTGATAAGAAAGAAACAGGCGCTCAGAATGCGGATGGATGGGGCGATACTAGAGAAACAAGCACTCAGAATGCGGATGGATGGGGTGATAATAAAGAAACAGGCGCTCAGAATACGGGTGGATGGGGTGATAATAAAGAAACAGGCGCTCAGAATGCGGATGGATGGGGCGATACTAGAGAAACAAGCACTCAGAATGCGGGTGGATGGGGATCTAATAACGAAACAGGTCAGGGTATTAATTGGAATGATAATTCAGAAATCGCCAATAGTGGCGAGTACGCTGTGGATGCGTGGAATAAAGACGTTGCTGAAAAACAGTGGGGTAGAAGCAGCCACGAGAGGGGTGGCAGAGGAAGGAGAAATCCACGAGGTTAGATTGTTTATTTGTTGTTTTTTTCCCCCTGTAAGATAGATACGCGATCACGGGAAAGAAATTTCATAATAGTCATGCTTCAATGTAGCATTTACAGTAGTTTATAAACCTAATTAATAAGTTTATAACTATTTACCAAAATTTTTTTGTTAATCAAAACAAGTCGGACGAGGAAGGGGTTCACCAAGAGGGCGAGGACGAGGGCGAGGTGATTTCTATGGAGGAGACCGCGGAGATCGTGGAGACCATGGAGATTTTAGGCAGCGTCACGATGAACGGGACAAATACAAAAGTTCAGAAGGGCCCCGAGAAAAGTTTGGCAGACAAACTATGGAGGATCGTCGTGGACATGGACGGAGAGGGTCATACTCGCGCGGTGGAGGAGGATCGAATAAAGGGAAAGGTGATATAATATGTACATAATACATATGTCCTTGTTTCAGATTATATTTGGTCGTTATGTCTAACATCGTGTTTCTTCAAACACTTTAGATCATACGTCTACCGAAAATGATAATACCATAGAAGAATCAAGCACTGAGAATACTCGACTTTTTTGTAAACCAGGTGGACTGTACGACAGTGTTCATGCTCCGCCATATGTAAACAAGGACCGTGTGCTATCTGGTGGGACCAGAGAGGTATATTATGCTTTGGATTAATTGGAACGAGCATTAATCCAAGCAGAGATAAAAGCTTTGCTTGATACCTGAATCATATTGTCTATGGAAACTTTGCTTGATATTATCTTACATATTTCTGCAACAAAAAACCCAGAAACCGGATGAGAGCGAAGTAGATGAACGTATGAAAAAAATTAAAGAGCGAAACGAAAAGCTACTTGAGAAGAGGAAGGCAAGTAAATGTAATTTGGAAGAATTATATTCATAAATTTGTGACAGATTGACAATCAACAACACCATTTTATTGTAAAATCTCATCAATTAACTAACCACTTTGACAAATATCACAGATTGTAGAACAGGAAGAAGAGGAATTTAAGAAAGCAGAAGAAGAAAGGAAGAAAAAAGAATTACAAGATATAGAAGCTCAGAGATTGAAACAACAAGAAGATGAGGAGGAGCAAGAGCGAAGAGATTTTCAACAAAGGCGACTGCAAGAGTGAGTTGAGAAGATATTGTTGTTTGAAGATAACGTATATTCATTGGACTTGCTTGACAAATAAAAACTCTTCTTCACTATTTCATCCAACTCTGGTTGTCAACCTGCTTATATGCCTTTTTTTTTTTTAAAAAAAAAAAAAACACCCCCAGCTCGGAACGCGAAATCAATGCGCAGCGTAAGAATCAGCACCGCGATAATCGTGAATGGGACAAAGAAAAGCAGGAATCCGAATGGAGCCATAAGCCCTACACGGATTATTCTCCGTCATCCCCTAAATCCTACAATCGATCCGGTGACAGGAATAATAACACCAGAGGAGATAGACGACCACGGGGTCGAGGACGAGGGCGTGGACGAAGAGGCAGTCGGGGGGAGAATGGGGGGGAGAAGAGATGACTCTGGGAAAGGAGACTGGCAGGATAAGCAAGAAAGTGGGATTGAAAAGTGGGGTGGAAGTTGGGATAATAATACAACGATCGATACGACGGCCGATTGGTCAAATGTGACTGGTTCCACGAAAGGCGAGTTTTGTTTTTTTGAAATCTTGGCAAGATTTGGAGGCATATGGAGGAATAGGAAATGGTGTGGCGTACATATTCCCCTTCCTTATATATTGCTTATACGCAGTATTATCTGTCTTGTACCACAAAAGAGTGTAGGATGCTCAATGCGTTATTAAGAATGAATAGAATAACCTTTCTTCTTAAAATAAATTTTAGATAAGCCGTGGGGAGAAAGCGATAGGGATGAGACTCCAGGCGCGGACCTGCCTAGCCCTCTCGAGGCCTTCGCTCCTAAAAACTTTGATAGTGGTAAGAACGAGCATGTGCATTATTTCAATTAAGACGTCTCGTTCAACGTCATAGTTACATAAAGTTTCGTAATAGTGTCATCATTTGATTACCTACTTATAATGCATTACCTTTTTTTTTTCTAGTAGAGCAGAGTGTTAATAATGGGGATTCGAAACCCAGTAAAGCATCTGGACAAGCAGCTGGTTGGGCCGATCGAATGGAGGCCGCCGATAAAGCTTCTGGTAAGAGGATATTAAAAAATGACGTGCTTATTATGGATATCGCGTGCATGTAATATTCAGCGCATTTTGAATACATTAGCGGAAAGGCAGAAAAAAGCCGATAATGATTGGAAAAAAGGTAATGCTCACACAAGTCGTGGCGCGTTTATTCTCTTAATACTGATGACTTATACTCCCTTCATCGAATGTAGATGCAACCTGGGATTCTGGCAAAAGATTTGATGCCACCTACCAAGCAACTGGCGAGTGGGGTGGAGCTTCTAGTCAAAACGAGGGTAATTATCTCGTGTCAAGTGAAAAAAGTGAATATTGAGTATTGAAATAATAACAAATGCGTTTATTACAGGTTCCAATTGGAATTAACACGATGATGAGGTTAATCGTCAATCATTAATATTCTTACAGTAACCTAACAATCGGGCTTTCCATCATTACATAGCTAATATTCTCAATAGCACTTTATAAGACATATACGGGGATTCGTAGATTGTTGTTACCAACGACCTGTTCTCTGCAAGCAGAACGTTAACGTCTATTCCTCTCGTCAGCCGTAAGTTTACACTGTTACATTCAGTAAGTATCAATACTTTGTAAAGTTATCTTGCGCGTTTTGCTCACAAGCAGCTCATCCATGATCACTTTTTCCAACCAGCTGACTATAGCATAACGAATGATTAAAGGTAGTTATTATTAATAAGAGACTTAGGCAGAAAGAAATTCTTACTTTCTCTTTTTGACAATAAGAATCGGTGTAATATATGTATCATATATTGGATATGTTGTATGGAATGAAATGAGTACACATTGGCAAATTATTTATGGGACAAGGCAAACAGAATAACGGAAACGACAAAGGCTACTGTTTGTCTTTATTTCATGTGTGATTAACGATGCCAATTTGCTACAAGTGCGATCAGCAACAAGTCAAAGATAATAAATCTCACAAATGACTTGTACGCTCGCTGATTGCCACACTAGTAATACTCCATTTGCTCCCACGCATCCTTATCATAGTCTTCAACCAGTTGCGGGTCGTCCTTGTATTTCTCTTGCCACTGCACGAATCCACCCCGAAGTATTTGGATCTTTTGTGATGTCTTGGTGTCTTTTTGCAAAAGCGTTTCACTGTAAACACGGGCAGATGATGGACCGCGTTGCTGAGACAAAGCGCAGTGGAAGAAAATCTCCGGAACTTTAGGGGCCAAGAGATTTACAGATGATGAGATAGCAAAAATGTATGTATGCGTGAATGTGTGAAATAGGAAATTACAGATCAATGACATCACTTCGCCAATATAACATATAATAAATGTGTAGCTAATTACCCTGCCCATAGTTATCTATTAGCTTGTTGACTTCATCTGCTAAAGTGTGTGAAGGAATGTTGATAGCCCCCGGAATATGTCCGCACTGGTGTAAAAGTTTGTCAGAAGCCAAGTTAGCCTGTGGCTATTCCCCCATTCGTTTACTCTCACAATTTCTGTTCATGATCCGGCTAGCTTACCACGTAATCATCATCGCGTACATCAACCACCAGATAATCTTTCCCTGGTTCTTTTGTCGGATCTTTAATCAGTTCGGCCAGATTCTCTGCATCGACGAATTCGACAGGTTTAGCCATGGTGGATGTGCCTTGCGCGTTTTCGGGGATGTGATTCGTATGTTTTCTTCGATATGGATACTTTAATGAAGGAAATAAGCGTATGTTCGTCTGTATCGATACTCGACCCGATGATATATAGGCCGACATATCATACAGATCTTGAGCGATTGGACAGTACTACTGCGACTCGATGATTACTGTGCAACGGCCTTATCTGACCTACGTGAAACAAACATTTTGCAAAGGGAATATACACTCCGTCTCAAAAATCACCGACCACCGCTACAATTGCAATTTAAATGAGAATATTGGCATAACGAGCATTGCAATCACCGTGAAATTAACACTAATATATACACAAAAATTGCAATATGTTAGATAGTAATTTATGAATTTATCTATAGCTGACTTTTATTCTACAAAAACCTTAAAATTAGGTTATGCGACTCGAATATTTAAAAAATTAATCCACATATAATTTTATATTTGTATTATTGCATACATTTACAGTAATCGTTGTCCGCCATATGTATTACAATCTGTTCGATGATATTTATGTGAAGATAGATATTTCCGTTGTTACCAACATTCCCTGCATTTAGAATTCATGATGTGTCTATCACGTGCAAAGCACATCAATTATATATTTAGATTATGTACAGGCAATAAATAGACCATTGGGCTAGTTAGTCTATAGCGTTCGGAGATGGCAGAGGCTATAGTAAGTTTTATGAGCATGTCGCAACATTTATTAAAACAGTACAAAGCAATACAGTATGAGAAATGTAATAGTTTATCGCATAGTTCACATTTTACTAACATGTTATTCCATACTTTTATGTCAGAACAATGGTGAATCGCCATTCTCGAAAACGAAAAACAAAGGCAAAGCCAAACAAATTGAAGACATTGAGATCGATGATGTAACCCAATCGGACGAAAACCTGAGTGCAATCCAATTGAGGGAACAGTTGATCAAATGCTTAGAATCAATAACCAACAACAATGACAGACGACATCACTTCATCAGACTGCATACCTTGTTATTAACAACAGAAGATAGATTGGATGATGATCAATTGGAAAATATATTGAGGACAATAGGGACTGCAAACATTTCATATATGAAACATAAGGTAACAACTGGTATGGAGTTGGAGCTACATCTCAGGACATATGTGTT